CACTTGTTTCAGTGGGGAAAAATGATTTGGTTGGCCCTATTTCTGTCCCTGATGGTGCTAGTTTCCAGTTTTGCATTTGTTTAAGAAACAAGCCAAAGACAATGTGGCGAAACATTCATATTATATCCATTTGGCATTGAAAAAAATTGCTATCTGAGCAATTTCTTTGAATTTCAGTGTAAGAGGGGTATAAAATATGGTGAGTTTGTGGCATTCCTCCCAAGTATCGACGAGACAATACATATTCATTCCTTATGGTTCTATTCGCGTTGAAACACAAATTACGTCGACAAGAAAATCCAAAACTCGGGTTAGAGGTGATGGAAAATAGGTTTGGGAATGAGTTGAATCTCACAATATCACCTTATACTATTGGGCGCTCCAACAACCTTGTGGCTATTGGTTGCAACAACCAGGCCTTGTTAACAAACCTTGCGCCTAGAATTTGTGGGATGCACTTCATCTTGCAAAACAACAAGGACCAAAAATAAAAGAACGTGCAACGGTTACGAATGCTGCCAGATACACACTCCTGAGAGAATATGATATGTAATTGGTATAACCATAAAAAACATTACTGGTAACACATCATTAGGAGGTTGCAAAGTGGTCTTTCAAATACACATGTTTAACATACATACATGTTTTCACTACTGACACAGTTAAACCTATCTGTTAGAAAGACATTATCGTTTCGGTTAGGATCTTTGATTTGTAGTTCCTAGAAGAAAACATTACTTCTGTGTATAAACTAAAAAATATTTCAATAACCAACAAATGAGATCATGTTTTCTAATTACTTTTTCTCAAACTAATATTTTCAATTCTCATCCAAAAAATTACACTAAGATATAAATATTTAACCAGTTCATACATTCTATAAGTTGTTGTCAAAATTCGTATCAATAGATGAACTCACATTACCACACTTATGTCATTTTATCATTTTGGTGCATTTGTTAAGAAATTTTTGAGCATTTTTTGTGTTTTTTTTTTCTGTAAAATCAAATTTTAGACCATCAAATGATTTAATCATGTCATAAGCCATAATTATCTACAACTAGATGTATACAACATCCATATTAAAACATAATAATTTAATGAACAACCAACATATATTATTTTTAGCTAGACTTTATTATCATTTAGACCATAAGCTACTTACAAACTCAAAGTAATTTGAAATGATCAACACGATAAAAAATATACCTTAACATAGCAAGGGATGAAATATATTCATAAAGAATCAAGGCTTTTTTTTTTGGTCTAAAAATCAAGGCTAAAATATCCATATAAACATTAAAATCAAATATATCTTGCTCGGCTATGATTTTGAACCTCGCTAGCTAGACCAAAATCTGAAATTTTCGGATTCAAATCCTTGTCCAACAAGATATTTTCAGCTTTGATGTCTCTGTGGAAAATCTTTAGCCTTGATTCTTCATGAAAATTTGTCAATTCCCACGATATTTTGAGGCATATCTTTTATCTTGTAGGCTAGTCCAAACTTATTTGAATATGTATGCATAAAGACTCAAAGGGAACAATTATAAAAGAGTTCAAAAACAGATTTAGGGTATTCATGTTTTTTTTAACATGAATATAGTAGCAGTGATCAAATTGTGGATGACAATCCTTGCAATAACAAAATATGCGAAGAAACTAAAAAAACAAAAGACAAAATAAATAATTTTGGGAAATTAACATGAATAACACAAAAAAAAAACTATAACTAAAATTCTAACAAATTAACCTAGATCTAAAGGTTCATGTTTTGCCACACATGCTAATTTTCTTTACTTTTAAATTATATTCTTTTTTTGGTTAGATAGCAAATTGTCCCAATAATTTTCCCCAATAAATATGTCCAAAAATAGAAAATAAAGAACGTTCACAATTCAAAAATTGAGGTTTCAAGTGCACAGCAGTATTACACTGTGTACCAACTACCAAGCCCTCTTTGTTTGTAAACATAAAAATAATCTTAATCCCCTGCTAATTTATGATTATTTGTTGATTCTTGCCTTTTTTATAACTAATTGATTGTAGCATGTGAATCTATTTTATGAAAAATGGTTATTTCTGTCGCTGATCTGATTGTTGAAACACTGGCCCAGATCTTAGCCAACCAGATTAGTTAAGTAATTGAAAATTAAACAATTGTTTTGTTTCATGGTTTTGTGATAATAGAAGAGTCTTTCAGTAGATATATTTTGTATTTTATATCTGTGACTCTGGATGATTTGATTTGCATAAAAAATGTCCAAAGTAAAGCAAACTGATAGTAATTCTACATTGTACTCCACAATGAATTTTTGACAGGTTTATAAGAGTGGTCCTCCCTTCATTTCATCAAAAAGTGACCTTATAAAGAATCCACTTACGTTTTGGTTTTCCGGCAAAAGTTATTTTATATACATTAAAACGATGATACATAATTACAATACAAAGAATCATATAAACATGGAGGAGAATCCACTTACTATTTATTTAATGTAAATATTGAAAGAAAAATATAAAACTTTATTGAAATCAATTATGACAAACACAATTTGAGGAAATAAAAAATGAATGCGTGTGATATTTTTGCTCCATGACATAATGTAGGTCCTCCCCTGATTGTAATGATAACTGACATTGTTGGGGAATGCGTGCGATATTCTTGCTCCATGAATTG